TATATTTTTTATATATATACCCGTCCTGGATATATCTGTCTCTTTCATAATCTAGGTTAAATTCATTACTCCTTAAGCTTAATTTCTTTACCTCTTCAACACAGACCATAATTATGTATTCTTGAATTCAACGAAGGAAAGCAGTTCACGTCTTCAGTTTCAGTTGTAGATTCACTAACTCTGCAGTAGTAGTTATATTGTGATGTTGTCTTCTAAATACACAACTTTACCCCAGATTTTTTTAATTTCTAGTTTTATTTTCAAAATTAGTTTTTCTACATCTTTTTAATAAAAATATGGCATTGCCTGCAAATCTCAAATTATTAATGTTCCAGTACTGTCTTTCTTATGCTGGGTCAGTTGAACAGATATGTCCTTTATTCTAAACCACTCTGTTTCTCCAAATGCAATTCTTGAAGTAGTTTCTTTTATGCTGCCGAGATGATTATTACTATTACTACTACCGCTATTACTATGTTTGAAACATCAATGAATGGGAATTGGCTGGCATATCAATTTAATAGTTATTATGGTATGATGTACACAGAAATCTTGCCCAGGATATTGCAGGGACTTGTCCAGATGCCACTATAAGTCAACACTAATTGGAAGGCACACATACCCCCATGCAGTAGTTAGTGAAAGTGATATGTTTCCTTTTTCTCTTGCTATTTTCATTATCTGTCTTAGTTATCAGATTTCATGTCGCTCTGTCTTTTCTAAAACCTGCCCATTTGTTCTGCATTTCTTTTTTGGACTTTATTTGTCTTTGAAAGATCTTAGGAAAATTTTGCTTACATAAAGAATAAGTTCAATAATTCAAATTTTGCATTTTCTGGCATCTTGTTTCTTTGCTTTAGGTATGTAACTGACCTCTTTCAGTCTCTCAGCAAAAAAAAATCTTGTTCTGTATTTGTTGCTACAGATACGTTAGCACTTCAAAGTTGCTGAAGTTAGTGAAAGGTTTGTGTTATTTAATTTGTCACTGGTACTTTCTTATTTAACAGCTGGTCTATTGACTTTGGTATCTTATTTTTAATGCCACTGGTTCTTGAATATATATTTTGTCAGCAAAAGTTTCAATTATTTAATAATCCTGTTTGTGAATGGTTTCAGCATATTTTCCATTTTATATTTTATTTTAATTTTTTTTATCCTTGAGTATTCCTGTGTGAAATGCAAATTTGCCTGTGATTTTTCTGATTATAAAAAGATCTTTTATTGTAGTCTTATTATTATATTCTCCTAATTCCTGTTATTCTTGATTGAAATACATTTCCTTTCCTTGCTTCAAATTGTAAGTCTGTGTTCAGTCATTGCCCTGTTGCCTCAGGCTTTCACCTTCCTTTTTTCCATGGCTAGCATGATAGCTTGTTCTGGAAGCTAAATGGATCTTTTCTGTTTTGAAATGTATTCACAGTTTCTCTTCTTTCCTCCCATATATTTGCTGTGTAAGTTAAGCATAATTAAGATATTCCCTACATTGATTTTATATTTTGAGTTTATGTTCTTGAGATCATATCTTACTTATCAGATTTACTTTAATTTTTTAGTTCAACTTGTATCAGTAATTTACAGTGTGTTTTACTGTCTGCACCTGGAAATATCCTAGTTCAGTGGTTCTCAACCTGTGGGTTGGGACCCCATTTGGGGTCGATCGACCATTTCACGGGGGTCGCCAAGCAAGGCTGTCCGCCATTTTTTCCCCCTTTTCCGGCAGGTGCCTTACCTCCCTTGGGCTGGGCCAGCTGGTGGTCGGCCTGCTCCGTCTCTGCCGCTTGCCAGTTAAGCCTCGGCTGGTGCAGGGGGCGGAACCACGCATGTGCGGGGCTCCCGGGCAGGGAAAGTCCTTGACTTATGACCGGTTGGGTAGTCCTCGACTTGCGACCAGTTTAGTCCTCGACTTACGACCGGTTTAGTCTTCGACTTACGTCCGGTTGGGGTCGCGGCATTAAAAAGGTTGAGAACCACTGTCCTAGTTTTATAAATTCTATGTGATTGTAATTATTTCCCATGTGGTAATGTCTATATACATAATCAATACTTATATAGCTTGAAACAGGTGTCGACTATGAAAAATTATATTACAGGTAGTCCTCCCTTAATGATGGTAATTATGACTGGCAATTTCATTGCTAAGCAACTCGGTTATAAAGTGTGACATCATATGATTGTGTTCACTTAGGATGATCAGTTTTGCAGTTCCGGCTGCAATTTTTAAGCGAATCCTGCATGGTCATTAAGTATAATATCACGTGATTGTCATTTGTGACCTCTTGCTGGCTTCTCCGCTCACTTTGCTTGTCAGAAGTTGGCAATGAATGGCAATCACGTGACCATGGATGCTGTGATTACAAGCCAGTTGACAAGTGCCCAAATTGTGATCACATCACTGCAGGGGCACTGAGATGGCCATAACTACAAGGAATACTCTTAAGTCTCATTCAGTGCAATTATAACTTTGTATGGTCGTTGAACATTCATTAAATGAGGACTACCTCTATTTTACTTCTGGAATTACTATGTTTACCAAACCCAAATGTTTCTATGATTCTAGCTTCTTCCAGTGCTCCAACCACTAATCACAGAAGCATCTGTGGGGTGGGGGTGATGGTATGGTGATGCCAGCAACACCAAAGTGGCAGTTGCAACTGGGTGATCGAAACCCAAAACCTTTTTAATGTGTGTCACATGCAATGCAGGCATATAGATACAAAGTGTCACCACTTTGACACTCTCATCCTGAATACCCCTGCATTAATAACGCTATATCCTTTTTTTGATGTTGCATCTGACATTCCTTGCAACTGGCCAATTTTTAATGTCTTTCTCTTTCATGGGTTACAATACACGCATATAATTTTACTGGGTGTTTACTGAATTTTACATGTGAAATTATGCCTCGGATCGTTTATCATGTAATCATCATCTGCTTTCCCTCTGTTTATTTAGCATGAGGGGAAAAAAGGCAATTGCAGTTATATTCTTCTACGTGCCCAGTTTGTGGTAGCATTGAAAGGGCCATGACAAAAGAATGGTAGATGTGTGTATCTTTTCCTTTCCTTTCCTCTTCCTTTCTTTTTGCCTGTCTTCCTGTCTCTCTTTCTTGGGAGAGTGGACAGCAGTATCTCAAAGAGGGAATAGGAAATATTAAATAACATGATTTTTCCTCTCTGCATCAGTGTTGCAGCTGTCTATTACTCTCTTACAAGGCATCCCTTTGAAGGTTTTGTAGTACCTCCATTCTCCTTCACAGCGTAAGAAACAAAGGGATATGACTAATGAGACATTAATGGACTCTAGAAAGAAAGGATGGGCATTCTCCAAACCTCTCCTTTTCTCAATTATTTATCTATATATTTTATAATTTCTTTAAAATCATACATTTTCAGGGGGGATTTTAAAAGTCTCAGAATTATTCTTCTGGTCTTCAGTGGTGCTTTGTGAATGGTGATGAGTTATGAATCAGAGAAAAAGAACGCACTATGATGGAAAAGAAAACCTGAATAGTGTGACAAAGATGCTACTTTTCCATACTTTCTTCTGTTTTATTCTTTCAGATATTCAGTTTTGTGGCATATTACTGCACATAATTTGTAACAAGTTAAAGCATGAAGCATATATTTTTGTTTAATGCTTAAACTATTAAAAGTTGGTACTTGATTACAAATATTATTTTCTGATAATTAAGCAACTTAGAAAACATGCGTTCGCATCAGAAGTGATTTCAGTATTGTTTCTTTTATTGTCCGAGGATCACAATTTATCCTCATTTTTCTTCTTCAAGGAAAATGTAATAGTTAATTTAAATATATATACCTATATTAAGCATATTTAGAAAATATACTTGAATGGGACTTGTTTAAATGGAATCTGGTTGTGCCATCTGCGTTCTTTGTTATATGAGGATCTTTCTGTTGAGCTGTTCCAATATTCTCTCATGGCTACATTTGTACACTGATTTCCCAATAATAGTTTAATGAGTCTTGTGATAAGTTGTCAATTTGAAAAGAGGATGTTGCTCTAATTCAGGCAGTAACATATTCCTAGAGGGACATTTGATTGGGAATTCATATAGTGGGTGTTAGAGAAATATATGAAAAATTAGTTTATTTATAATTACTAACCATTATGGCTGCATATTACATCCAGTATCAAAAGTAGTATGATGGTCCAGGTGATGCCACCACTTATTTTTATTTTATTTAGAATACCCAATGAGCTGCATGAACATCCTGAACATAGTAGCTTTTTGTTGAGCGCTTCTGTAATTGGATGTGAATGTGAAAATAAGGACAGATGATTTTTCATAACATTTGCATTTTAAACAGATTTATTTTTCTTGCTCTCTCCTTTTTCATACATAATTTTTATTTGAACACAACACAGATACAGACATAAACACAGACCCATACACACACACACACACACACACACACACACACACACACACACACACACACAAACTAACCAAAGAGAGAAGCAACCTAGAACTAAGGAGAAATTTTCTGACAGTTAGAACAATTAATCAGTGGAACAACCTGCCTCCAGAAGCAGTGAATACTCCAACACTGGAAGTTTTTTAGAAGAGACTGGACAGCCATTTGTCTGAAATGGTATAGGGTTTCCTGCCTGAGCAGGGGGTTGGACTAAATGACCTCCAAGGTCCCTTCCAACTTTATTATTATTATTATTATTATTATTATTATTATTATTATTATTATTATTATTATTATTATTATTATTATTATTATTATTATTATTATTATTACTGCTACTGTTACTGTTACTGTTATTATACACACAGCTACATACATGAAAACAAACCAACTTTAGTATGTAAGAAGTTTTTTTTTTTTTACATCTTGTTGCAAGAAGTATCAATTAGTTGGTTTCAATTAAAATGTGACATAAGAAATCCCATTTTGATTCCTAGGTAAATATGTATCTTGGCTATTTGCTTACTGTACTTATACATGAACTTATTTTTTCTTTCACAGAACTACACTCAATATATCCCGTTATCCATATATGATCTACAAACGTGGATGGGCAGCCCCTCCATTTTTGTGTATGATTGCTCAAATGCTGGCCTTATTGTCAAGTCTTTCAAACAATTTGCCCTGCAGAGGGAGCAGGAACTGGAGGTGAGTTTTTTGAGAATTATATAGCCATGGTTCCAAACATATAGTCCAAGGAAGACACTAAAGGCACCCTCTGATGTGATGGTGCCTTAAATAAGTAGGTTTTCTATGGTGGGAGCCTTGGGAGATTGCCACTTCTCATGAGATTTTAAATGTGATTAAATCAATTATATTTATTAAAATTATTCTATTCAATAACAAATAGTATTCACTAAGACAATAATAATATTGTTATCATGTCCTCCAAAGGCTTACATATGAATTAGTAGCTTGCATGAAGTAGGAGAGTGAGAATTTCTCATGTTATAGATTGTTGGGGTTAGGGTTAGGGTTCTTCTTCGCAGAAGAAGATCTAATATTTTCTGTCTTGTTTAAAATCTGTTTCATTAAAAAAAATGGACGACTGGCAACAAATCATAGAAATCAGAAGCTAATTTGGAAAAAACCTTGCCATTCCATTCTGTTTTGCTATCCAATAGTACAGACACCTAATAAAAGAGTTAATTAAATTGTAACATTTAATAGAATCAATGTCTACTCTTAGAGCTTTTCCAACTGAAATTAAGGCAGTAATGGTAAAGATCTTTACTTGTTACCTACACTACACTTTAGGACTTCCAAGTGATCTATTTCTGCCATTTTCTCTTGAAGTCAGTTATCAGTCATTAATCTAAATGCTTTGTAAGACATACCCTTAATTCTGCAGACAGGAGATGTATCTTGGTGTTAATAAAAGAGGACATTGTGTGATTTCTTAAATTTGTTGTTGCAAATGAGGCTAGTAAGCAATACCCTTTTTTACTTCTGCCATTTGAAACTGAATCTGACCTGATACGTTTAACCAACTGCAGAATGAGAAAGTTGTGTTCTTGTCTAAGATGTTTATGTTGTTCAGTTTGTTCTGCCTTTTAAATTTCATTTTAAAAGCAAACAGCTAAGCATATTATATTGGAACACAGTTCTGATTAACAAAGCCATTTTTTAATTTTATTGAAATAAGCCAACCAATAAAAACTTGTTGCATTGCATAGCTGGAATGTAGAAATCATGCAAATAACCCAGTTATACAGAGAAGCACAAATTATTTTTCAACTCATAGAAATGTGCTCGCCTTGTGTGTACATATATCATAGTGCTGTAAAGTAACTTTTAACTGTAGTTCTGGCAAAATCTTATGCTCTTAATTGTTCCAAAACTGTACTAGCAGCATAGTTATTAGCAGCATAGTGCAGTTTGACATTCCAGCTGTCACACAAAATAATCTTGCTGCTGGCTGCTCATTTCTTAACCTGTGAAATGAGAATGCAAAAGATTATATTACTTTCTAGGGTGTTGCAGAGCTGTAGGCTAGAATTTCAAAAATGAATATTCCTAAATTCAGTATTTATTACTTCTCCTTTCTAAAGGTTCTCTCTGTTTCTTCTAATTGTGATCCCCACCTTTTCATCTGTCAGGATTGCTTTGTATCCAGTGCTTGTCTCTTTGCTTCTATCCAGTATAACATCGGATTTAATTATTTTCTCTGAATTAAAGTTGTAGCTGAATGAAAAGGTGGCTCAGTCTGAGGTCTGACCTAGACTCAAAGACTTCAGAGAATCTCCACATCCATAATTCTTTCTGAAAGACATATGGGTGGCTTCTGTGCCATCTTACCTAAGCATCTCAATCTAAATCTCTCTTGTGCTGCTTCTCAGCAGTAGCCATTTTAATCTTGGCAACAGGAAGACAAAAACTGTGATACCTTGAAAACTAATGCAAAGTCATAGATTTGTTGATGAAAGATAAAAGTTGCAAAGCTCGCTGGAGCCCTCACAGCAATTCTAAGGCAAAACCTCAATTTCATCTTTGCTGCGGTTAATCACAAACCAGCTTCTTTTTAAAGATCATAAATCGTAAGATTTATTTAAAGATTCTTTTTAATCCTAAAAAAATGTTTTAATTATGTCGTTCTCTTGAGTTAACTTTGAAAATATGTTTTAGGTACATACAGCGAGCATTAAGGCTTTTGGGTGCATGCTGTGAAGGTTAATCATTTTGAAATAAAAGTAGATCTTGAAAACTGCTGGTATTTGATAGACATTTCAATAGAGAAAGACAAATGTTATGGACGAAAAAGATGGCACAACGTGAGCAGAGCTGGTGAGTGCGTAGCTTTAACTGTGATCCATATAGTTTAGGAAGAGTCATGAAGACACCTAAATTGTGCAACATGGAAATTAGAACACTTGGTTATTTCAGGATTAGACATATCCAGGGAGTACTGAACCACGAAACCTTGCTAACAAAAGAGTCCCTTGTGTAAATGGGAAGTTCTTTCCTTTTATCCTTTGTCCTTATATAATGTGCTGGTGGTGATGATGATGGTTGTTAGTAGTGATGGTGGCAGTGGTGAAGAAATGACACATTCTCTTGTTTTGGGTGTTCAGGTTCACTGCACTGTATCTGTGTGTTCAGTGTCAGTATTAGCTACACTCTCTGGATAGAATACAGGTTTAGTTTAACAAGAATCAGTGGCCCAATTTAGTCCTCTTACAGTATGCATCTGTAGTTCTGTCAGTAGTTAGAATGTTTTCTCTCCAATCCTTAACTCACTTAGCACCTACACACAAACACACAAATCTCTCAAAAATAATCAGTGACCCAGTTATTCTGATTATCATGCCATAGAGCAGTGATGGTGAACATTTTAGAGACCAAGTGCCCAAAAACTGGCCCCGCCTCTGCTCCACCCCCTGCCCCGCCCCCGCTCTGCCCCCCATCCCTCGCCCCATCTGCCCACAGGACCACTCACCGCCTCCAGGGCCCACTGCAGATCGCCCAGGCAGCCCAGCAGCGCTATAGCGGCCACACCCTCTGCCCATGCCCTGCAGCATCAACAGCATGATGGGGTGTGAAGGCAGCGTCTTGTCTATGCTGCCTGGCTCCCATGTCCTTGGCTGCGCTGCTCCGTGTGGGCCACGCTCGGGGGCGAGTCTCCTTCAGGGGAGCTGCTGGAGAGGAGGGGGTCGCAGAGGGAGGCAAGTCTGGGGCAACGGCACGTGTGCCCACAGAGAGGGCTCCGAGTGCCGCCTCTGGCACCCGTACCATAGGTTTGCCACCACTGCCATAGACTGTTGCAGGACATTATCTCTCACTCTTACCTGTGAGGCATAGACTTGGATAGAAATGTATCAACCTGTATATGGGTCCGATATTTATGTATCTTTTCTTCGTGCAGGAAGTCCAGCTTTTGCTTAGAAATCTCCCAGCAATTGACATGATCCAGATGTCTGGGCATACATCAGATCATAAGACCACGACTGTTCATAATTCATGTGGTTATGCAATTGGATTTATCTGTTTCCTTCCTCTCTGGGCTCCCTATCTCCTTTCAGAGAGTAGCTTAAAACATCTGACCAGTTTCTACAGGATTTATTCTAAATGTACAATGCAGATAGGAGGAGGATAGACTTAAGCACATTGCATCCAGCAGGTCATTATACAAATGGATGGGAGCCAAGAGCAATCCTAGCAAGAATTTTCCTTTGAGGGAGGAAGGGAAGGAGTGAGGTGGGGGGGGGGGGGAGAGAAGAAAGCAAGCAGTGAATATTTAGCCATTGCCTGAGTTTTGACCAGCAGATATTCCAATATTCTGCCTACTGAAATAGATGGAATGTACCATATCTCTATAATAGCTATAATGATAGTACTAAATTTATGACCCTCACTACATAGAATTACTGTTTTGTCCCATATAACAAAGGGTCTGAAAATATATGAGCTGGGAAGAGCTTTTGATAACTTTTTATCCAAGTATAATAACTTTCTTCCAGAACTTCATAAGTATTTCTGGGGATTCACTGGCTAGGAAATGTGGTTTTCAAATCTGTTATATATTTATTTTTCATGGGAGATGTTATTCAACCTGATAAAACACATTTTACAATGTAGTAAGGATTAAACTACTAACATTTTAAGTTTACAAATACACAACATCAACGTTAAAATATGTACATAAACATATATATGTTTAATGAACTTACATTTTGATCTTGGAACTGTATTTTAAATAAAGGAATGCCATTTTTTGTCAATAGGCTTAATAATATGGACAATTGTTCAGACACTTGCTTGAATAAAAGCGGGTCTTAAAATCCTGAATCTGTTCAGAGTTAATATCATGGAATACTTATTTGGGTAAATATAATCTGAATACTAAAGGAATCAAATCTCTACTATTTAGAAATTTAGGAAAATATATCTATTCAAAAGATATTTTAAATTGTATTTTCTGTTCTTGGTGTCTAATAGGTTTGAGTTATTAGATTATTGTCTATATATAACAATAGCAATGTGAAGCACATGATTAGATTTTGCTTCCTCTTCTAATATTCACTAACTAGTGAACTAAGCTGCCGTAGAATTCTGTGCAGTTCAGGATTTGTTATCTGTTTTCAAGGTCTTTATTAGTAGCAAGTCATTTTCAAGTTTTTGATGACCTACACAAATGCAGCCATACTGTTTTTTTGCCATGGTACAAAAGTAGCTTTGATTTCCTTCTCTCCATATTTTTTTGGGCATGGGAACAAAGAGAGATAAAGTATTAGATAGATTGCTTTTGAAGATAAGGCCTACATTATCACCCAGATTTATAACAGAGAACTAACTCTGCTTATCTTTCTAGATCAGTCAAAATCTGCAGGGCTATCCTACTGTAATATAAGCTAGTATTTTCTTATGTGTGAGCCCCACTTTCTGAATTAAAATGAGAGGTGCATTTAATTTTTAGTAGTGTTAGACAATCAACTACATGTATATAGATCTTTATGTGTTAAAGCAAGAGTTTTGAGAACTTGTTTTCAAAATAAAAGCTACGATTCATTCCATTTTATATTATGGGTATGAATTCAAACAACGTATGTGCTTCTTGAATATAATATTAGCACTATGGAAAGAAGCTCTTCCTCCACAGTGCTAGTTGGGAGTGTTTCTTAAGTCTTTAAATCTCACTGGAAATACCTCAA